AGAAAATTTCTATCATGGGGGCCATTCCAGAGAAATCTCATTAGAACTAAAGGTCACAGCACAGTATGCAGTACTAAATTCATCACAACTCTAGCCATATTTATTCCTGCTGCTCCAACACAGCAGTAAGTCTCTATTTTATAACATTATTTAAGGTCACAGATGATGCATTGACAGAGCCCTGAACAACTATCGTCTGGGTGTGGGTGAAATACAGTGGTACCTCGGGTTACATACGCTTCAGGTTACAGACTCCGCTAACCCGGAAATATTACCTCAGGTTAAGAACTTTGTTTCAGGATGAGAACAGAAATTGTGCTCCGGCGGCGTGGCAGCAGCAGGAGTCCCCATTAGCTAAAGTGGTGCTTCAGGTTAAGAACAGTTTCAGGTTAAGTATGGACCTCCCGAACGAATTAAGTACTTAACCCGAGGTACCACTGTACACACGAAGCTGGAAATGTTAATTTTCCAGTCACCTGGAAGGATGGGAGGATCACTTTTCCATTCAAAACTGGCCAGTGGAATGGCTGTTCTTATAGGTTCTGAAAGATCTCCTTTACAGCCACAGAACTGACTCATGGAGACTCTTTTTGAGGTAGATTGGCGGGGCTAATCCATGACCCTGCAGATATCACTGCATTCCAGTTCCCAACATCTCTGCCCATGCTGGCTGGCTGGCACTGCTGGGTGTTAGGAGTCCCCCAGCATCTGGAGGCAGGGCTGGCTCAAAACATTTCACTGCCTGAGATTAAGAAGAAGAAGAGATTGGATTTGATATCCCGCTTTATCACTACCCTAAGGAGTCTCAAAGCGGCTAACATTCTCCTTTCCCTTCCTCCCCCACAACAAACACTCTGTGAGGTGAGTGGGGCTGAGAGACTTCAGAGAAGTGTGACTAGCCCAAGGTTACCCAGCAGCTGCATGTGGAGGAGCGGAGACACGAACCTGGTTCCCCAGATTACGAGACTACCGCTCTTAACCACTACACCACACTGGCTAGATGGTGCTCCCTTTCCCATTATGCATACAGAACTGATTATAGACTGCCTGAGGCAGCTGTCTCACATTGCCCAATGGTAGGACTGGCCCTGTCTGAAGGGCCACAGGTTTCCCATCCCTGATGCAGATTCTCTCAGAAAACTGTACGCTGAGAATGTTTACTGATCGCTTCTAAGATAACATCCTTCGCATCTGTTCTGACTGAGGTGTCACTCTGAATATAGTATAGCCGTCAAGCATTCCCAGCTAGCTGCTATTGCTTGGATGAGTTTATGTTACTGCAGCTTGAGGATATAGGCATGAATATAGTGGTACCCGAACATTATGCTGCTGCTAAAAGCAATGAGCCTTTTCCTTTTTTTAAAAAAAGGTGCTAAATTCAGACAAAAAATACTTTGTTTTTTCAATATATATTGGACCCATGATGAATAAATAAAATTGATAAATAAAACACAATAAAACCAGGCATCTTTTAAGATAATAAAAACTGCAGCCAACAATAGGATACTAAAATATCATCAGCCCCAAGATTATCTTTCTCTTTTGCTGGATGATATTTTTTTTTTTTTTAAGATTAAAGTAAAACAGTGCCAGATTTATATGAGGATATATCTTTATATCTCCATAGGAACTTTTATTTTTAGTGAAAGCTGGGCATTTAAGGGAGGAAACTTGAATCACCTCAATGGCCCGGTCCCCAAAAACCTCCCATGGCTACAACCCGGCTTGAAAGATGGGGATTTGAAGAAGAGGGAGCAGATGAGCAGTAAATGGAAGGGGTGTGTGGAAAGGCCTGTAGGAGATCGTTTCAACACCATTTCTCTCGCTTACTTAGTAACAGTGGGTGACAGGAACAACTGAAATGTTTCACGATAAAACAGCCACATTGGCTAATGAGCAAACTCCCACAGTGTGTGTGTGGCAGGTGGGATCCTTCCTTCCATCTCTCCCCCCCCCCCCCTCCTTTGTCAATTAAAGCTTACTTGTATTGTATTACTCTAATGTTCCCAAGCCCTGATTTGATTGAACTGGCTAACTGGATATCCTAGGATTTATTGTGTTTCCTGCCTGTTGTAATAAGCTTTGCTTGGGCTGACGCATTCAGAGCAGAGCAGAGCAGAGCAGGCTGGGTGTAGGAAGAGAGAAGCATACTGGTTCTTGCTTTTGTGGGAGGCCATTGTCTGACCAAAACTAAACCAGAGGACTGCTATGATCATGTGACTTTGAGCATCTTCTGTTTAGTATGTGTCATCATCTAGCAGGCAAAGCCTGCAGCTTTACGGATTATCACTGTGGCCATTCCTACCATTAGGCAGAGTGAGGTGACTGCCTCAGGCAGCAATGCTGCATGTGCCAGGTTCAAGGTTCTTTTGCTAGTGCACAAACCCCTGAACAATGCAGGTCCGGAATAGCTTATGATGTGTCTTACCCTATAATAGTTAAGAAACCTTTTCAGCGTTTGCCATTTCAAAGAAGTGTTCTTTGAAATATAGCAGGATACGGGTATGACGGATGATGTTTTAGGATCCTATTGTCCATTGCAGTCTTTATTATCTTAGCTGTGCCTGGTTTTATTGAACCATAATTCATCATAGAATCAAGTATATAGAGGAAGAAGATGGCATCACATTTCTCTAAAAATGGAACAGGCTGAATGGTGCCAAATTTAGACTGATTAATGCTAAGGCCAGGGATGCTTGTGTGTGCACAGTGCAGTATTTCGGTCTCAGGTGCCTTCCTGCAGGCCTGTTGGGAATCCCACAGGAGCTGTGTGTTTACTCTCTATATTATTTGGGAGAAGGGCGCTTCCAGATGTAGACAATTTACAAGCATGCTTTTAGAAATTGAATAGCTATTCTCCTTCCAACCCCAGAAGTTGGGGGACAATTTTCCTTGAGACCACTGGGTGTAGTGAGATGTTTAAATGCTCCCTCTAAGCCTTGTAGGACTCCCACTCCTGCCTACTTTCCGCTGCAATGGGAAGGGAGGAGGAGAGAAAATGAATTAGAAAGGGAAGTGATAATTCAATAGAGTTGGTTTCATATTAAGTGCCCATGGTGGGAGCAGCCTGGGACTCTTATGTTCAGGATAATTTGGTGTCATTGTTAGTGTTCTGAATGTTGTCTGACCATATCACCAGGCTGGCCAGCAAGAAGCCCTCTGTTTCTGGGCAATGTGGAGGCATATTCCTGCTCTATTCTGCCTTGATCAGACCACACCCAGAGTACTGTGTCCGGTTCTGGGCATTACAATTTAAGAAGGATATTAACAGCCTGGAACATGTGCAGAGGACAACAACCAAGATGATCAAGGGTCTGGAGACCAACCCTTATGAAGAAGGGTTGAAGGAGCTCCATATGGTTAGCCTAAGAGGAGACTGAGAGGAGATATGATAGCCACCTTCAAATATCTAAAGGGCTGTTACATGGAGGATGGAGCAAGCTTGTTTTCTCCAGCAGTGGAGGGTAGGACTCGAACCAACAGTTTCAAGTTACAAGAAAGGAGATTCTGACTGAACATCAGGAAGAGCTTTCTGACAGTAAGAGCTGTTCAAGAGTGGAACAGACTCCCATGAAAGGTGGTGGGTTCTCCTCCCCTGGAGCTTTTTAAGCAGAGGTTGGATGGTCATCTGTCATGGATGCTTTAATTGTGATTCCAGCATTACAGGGGTTGGACCAGATGATTCTCAGGGTCCCTTCCAACCCTACAATTCAGTGAAAAGAACGTTATGGCCAATCCAGTCACAGAATCATAGAATCACAGAATTGTAGAATTGGAAGGGACCCTATCTAGTCCAACCCCCTGCAGTGAAGGAATCCCAGCTAAAGCATCCATGACCGATGGCCACCAAGCCTTTGCTTAAATACCTCCAAAGAAGGAGAGCCCACCACCTCCCAAGGGAGACTTTCCCACTGTCAAACAGTTCTTACTGTGAGCAAGTTTTCCTGTATGTTTAGTCAGAATCTCCTTTCTTGTAACTTGAAGCCATTGGTTCGAGTCCTACCCTCTAGAACAGGATCCTGCTCCAGCATCCTGTTCTCACAGTGGCCAACCAGATGCTTTCAGGAAACCCACAAGCAAGACAGCAGCATCCCCACCCTCATGAGGCATCCAGCAACTGGCATCAGAAGCATTACTGCCTCTGGCCATGAAGGCATCACTTCCACCAGGTCCTTGGATTCCATGGATCCACCATACCCAGTAAGGTTCTCAAGGATGCTGTTGGTGTATTTCCAAAAAACAAAATTAAAAACTGGGTGTGTGGCTGGCCTGCTTGGGATGTGCCTGCTGGGTGTGTGGTTGGCCTGGGATTCTTTAAATAAACATTTCTTCTGTGTTTCGCCTTCCTTTCCAGGGCTAAGAATATATTGGATGAAGCACCCATTAAGCCAGTTTAGCAACAGCAAACATTCATACCAAGCCTAAAATAAATATAGGATTGTTTGGCTCATTCAGCCTTTCCTGTGTTAGGTCAGCCCATTCATTTCTTCTAGGTATAGCACAGGCTTGTCCAACTTCCAAGAGACTGAGATCTACTCCCGCTATAAAAAAAGCTGGCGGTGATCTACCCACTGGATTGACCAAAGTTGTTGGGCTTTTCTTAGAAAGTCGAAGTTGTTGAGCTTTTTGGGGGAGCTCAAAGTTGTTGTTTTTTGGGGGGAGTGGAAGCAGTCCCCCGATCTACCGTGATCTACCACAGGCACCCCACGATCTACCAGTAGATAGCAATCTACCTGTTGGTCATCCCTGGTATAGCGGATCTGGACATATAGCACCTGGTTGAAGCTGCAGGTTTGGTGCCCCCCCCCCTTACTGGGATCATCCTCATCAGCATCACAGCCCATGTTAGAGCTCAAAGTTAGGCACATTCTTCTCATTGGTATCAAACCCTGCAAAACATATTCTCCCTCCTTGCCTCTTGGAACAATTAAATCAGACCCTGGCTTTGCTCTACAGAAAGCCTTGTGTTTCTCTCTTTACAGAGCAAGTCTTTTTCCAGATTGTTTTTTCCTCCTGATTTATTTTTATTTTTAGAAGAGCAAATTATTTCACCAGTAGAGTGGAGAAGAAGATTGCCGAGGTGCAAGAGAGCAAGTTCAATAAGACACAAGTACAGAAGGTAACAAACTGCAAATAAATACAGAAAAACAGTCTTTGCATAGTTCAGAAACGAACATCACAGGGCGTCAATGTGCTGTGCGAAGTGGTACACATCAAGCACACAGGTCCACATTTCAGGTTGAAAGGTTGCAGCTGGAAAAAGAAATCCAAAAATCTTAGAAGGGAAAACTTAGAAGCAGATTTTTTTTTCTTTTTAGCATGAACATTAACTAGCTATATTTTTCTCCCCAGTCAGGCCATGCTGTAGATTGTGTGAGTGTGTGTTTAAAGGTGGAGAATGTGACCTATATGATCTGTCTTGGCATGCCGTATCCCGTCATCCCAGACTGAGACGCTCCCTTGTTGCTCCCCATTTGGAGACCGATGACATTCTGTCCTTGACGCAGCTGCTCTTCCGAAAACCCTCGCCGGTTCTTTTGTGCTTTCCTGTGAAGAAGAATTTGTAAATGTGACAAGCCTGAAGTTAGTTCTCATTTGCACATCGCTTTGAGCACTTAGGTGGATTGGTGAAGCAGATCAAAAGTGGTACATGTTCTGGGCTTTAATTCCTCGCATTCATTTTCCTTAAAAAGGAACACAGGTACAGTAAGTGCTGTAGCTCTCATCCAGAGGACAGCAAAGGGCAAAGCAAGTGGGACATGATCAGAGAAAGACTCCTACTAGAGCAGCCTTCCTCCTGCCTGGTGCCCTCCAGATGTTTTCAATTGGACTACAACTCCCATCGTCCCTGACTATTGTGCCACTGCTGAGTCCCAACGTATCTGGAAGGCAGCAGACTGGGGAAGGCTGTTCTAGAGTTTAGACAGCTTCTGATCCTTCTTAGAAAGGTTCCCATCCACCCTAAAGATCAGAAAACTAGATCTCCTGGGTTTGCTGCTGTTGATGCATTAGCTATGCCCACAAAATAGAGGGGGAAAATCTTTTAGCATGGCCAAATCAATATAACGCTTTCCCAATGGCTGAGGTCTTAAGTAATCTGGCCACCATCCAGCAAAACACTTAAGTGGATGCCCAAATGATCTGCTAGATTAAGGCAAGAATGTTGAAGACTGAGCACCATTGTCCCAGGAGCTGGTGTTACAAAATCCATAAAATGCCAACTCTGCAATGAGTTGTCCAGAAAAGTTGGCTCTCTTACACTGGTGTATACTTGCTTTTTTATTTTTTTAAAAAAGGTTTCATTGCAGGTTCTGGATGATTTAGTCACAGCTGCCGATTAATTTGCACAAATCGGATAATAGAGTTATACAACAAAACTTTGAGGAAAGACTCCATTTTTAAAAGCACACAGCATGCAATACATTTATTTGATTATGAATACAAATGTCTTTGGAATTATCCTAGGGGGATGAAACTGCTTATCAGAATTTGAAAAAGGGCCTCGTGTGCCATAATTCTAGCAGCCTTTTTATGACAATCTTTCATAGCACTCTTCCTTCATCCACCCCCAACATTCAGTCAGTCAGCCTCTGGAGTATCGCCTGTTCCTGCTGGTTTCACATATGAATACAGTGGGAAATAATTTAGAAGTTTAGAATCATCTGTGGACAATTAGATGACTATATTATGTGATGCAATGGGTCAGTTAATGTAGGGTTGCCATATGTTCGGAATTTCCCAGATGTAGCTGGGATTCAGCAGACTGTAACAGCGCCCAGGCAGAAATGACTTAAATGTCCAGAAAAATCCAGATGTATTGCAACCCATGTTGGAAATGTAGATTTTGGTGAATTTCCCTAAAAATATCTCAAAAACTTCTCCTTTTTTTTTGAGATTTTGCTAAAAAATAATCCTGCCCACAGCAGCCCCTGGATGGGCTTGAACCACCAACCCATTAACTAGGGTTGCCATATTTCAAAAAAAAAATGGCCAAAGTTGTGGAGCTTTCTTTTAGCAAAATCTCAAAAAAAAAAAAAAAAAGAGAGTCCAGCAAATTCTGGACATATAGCAACCCTACTAAAAATACAATTTAAAGCCATACCTCTCAGAGCATTAGAATTCCTATAACAACAGAAAAATAATTAAGAGGTCCACCAAAACTCTCAGCAATATTCATGTGACCCATTGGGCTGGATGGGGGACGGAGGTTTGGGAACCACCCTGCTCAAAGATTGACAATATGAATTCAGCAAACGGTGAATTTGGTGCTGATTGACACATTTAGTCTACACCCAAAACATGGTCCCAGGGGATCCAGGGAAGAGCTATAGATCCTTACCTGTGAAACCAGGCTGGATCCCCTCTATAGCATCCGTCATCCCTTGTGACGGCTTCACTGCCCAAAGCCATTAAAGTTCTTTGTACAGCAGCCATGTCCTTCCCTAGAAAGGCAGAGGAAGAGAGAGATTCTTTACTGCTACGTTGTTCGGTTGTAGTTTTGACAGTACTGTACACACCAGTTCAATCCCAGAAATCCCCAAGGCTTTGTTATCCCATTATGTTTTCTGTTTCTCTTCTGGTCTCATGGGCACCATCAGGGTTTCCCTCACCCAGAACTGCTGCTTCTTTCACCTTGCAAACTGCATGGTTTGCAGTTGACACTGGGGTAGTTCTGCAATTCCCCCCAATACAGTGCAGTTTGGGGTGTTATTTTCACCAATATATACATTTCCCCCCGCCCAACACTTTACACTAGTGTGCACATCTCTGTGCATGCTACTTGACATTGTAAAATTTGGAAAAGTGTGAATTTTGGAGGATGAATTGTTTTTGGAATTAGATAAGTTTGCCTTTAAAGGTGAATTGAATCAAATTTCTCCTTCATCCCTAATTCCTAAAGCTATGAATACTGAAGTCTGGGCCTGACCATTCTGTGTATAGCTCTGTATACAGCACACTTAACTTAGGACCGCTCATACGCCTTCTCTGTTTATGCCTCACACTTTGCTCCATGTCCAGTGAACTCATTACCCTTCCACTACCAGTCAGATCAAGACCAGACCCTACACCGATCCCTCAGTCTCCCCATTTTAGCAAGCCAATCCTTCCACATAAAAATGCTTCCCTTTGCAAAGCTGAGTCTTAGTCTGCATCTCCACCATACATCTCAAGCTGTATCACACCTCTTTAAACAACCATGCCTCTCTCAAAGAATCTTGGATCCTGTCTTTTGTTAAAGGTGCTGAGAGTTGTTAGGAGACCCCTGTTCCCTTCACAGAGCTAAGATTCCCGAAGAGGTTTAAGAGTCAAACCCTCTTCCCAAGGTATAGTGCAGATGGGGCCTTAAATTGACCTAATTGCAGAGAGACTGATGCGTGACCCCACTTAACCTCAAATCTAAAGTGGCACAACAATATTAAAAACCATGGAGCGCAGCATGTGGCAAGAGAAATCACTGCTGGAGCTACTGCAGGGGAAAGTGACTGTGTTTATTGTGGAAATAGGCTGCCACTGATTTCATACCAATCCTTGTTAGAAACATCATTCAACTCATTAATCTTCACAGCAGTCCCAAAGTAAATCAGCTTTGCTATCTTCATTTAACAAAGGCAGGGCGATGGTCTGGGGCAACAGAAAGAGGCAGCATTACAGTAGGAGGTGAGGGCCATTGGTGGCTATATTCTGCAGCCACACAATGCTTCCAAATATCAGTGTCCCATTTTAAGCAGGCTATCCTGGATCACAGAAGCCAATCCTGGCTTCAGTTTGGATCCTGGAATATCTCGTTTTTTGGTCCAGCGCTCTGGCACAAGGATGCTCTGGTGCAAACCTGCTGACGATCACCAGAGCGTCAGATTGGAAGTCATTTTACCAATAATTGGTTAATTAGATTATATGATTTATGCTGTACTTGTGAGGTTCGGTTCTGTCATTGTTATTTACTGTTTGCAAGCAGTTTGAGGATTTGTTTGAATCGAAAACAGCATAGAAATACAATCAATTGATCAATTAGGCTGGTGTGGGAGCCAAGAGTCTGAGCTTTAAACTGGGAAGGTGTCTTAGATCAAATCTCACCCCAACCGTAAATTCCTAAGTGATTTCTTAATCTCAGCCCCAAACTGAATCCCCACTCAGCCATGAAGCTCGCTGGGTGAGCTTGGGCTGGTCACCGTCTCTCAGCCTAACCTACCTCACAGGGTTGTTGTAGGGATGAAATGGGAAGGAAGAGACCCATGTAGACCACCTTGAGCTCCTTGGAAGAAAGTGTGGTGTATAAATGTAATAAACACAAACACAAAACACGTACCAGAAATATGGAGGGGAGAGCATCATAGCAAGAAGCTCCTCATTCCATCCAACACATCTTCTATTGTTGAATGAACAGGAGCACAGATGCTTTAATGAACACACAAAGTGGAGCCTGCACCCACAATGTTCCACAAACATACCCATATTTTAAACTCCTGCAAATGGCCCAAGCAGAAGCCTTTTCCAGCCCTGCATTCTGTTATAGCACATTGCAAATCATGGCTTAAAAATGGCTGTCCCAAGTAGTTGATCTCAGTACAGTGCAGGAACTCAGAACAACAGATCAACAAATGATGAATAAATACATCCAGGATCTTCAAGTTCTGTTCTAAGCTTTTCTTACAGGGCTGGGGGACCTGTGACTCTCCAGACATGGCTGGACTGCAGCTATCATCATCTGCTGATGCTTGGCCATGCTGACTGGGGCTTATGGGAGTTGGCACCAACCACTATAGGGAGGGCTACAGGTTCCCTACCCCGTTCTATAATTAGTTAAAGGTAAAGGGACCCCTGACCGTTAGGTCCAGTCATGGATGACTCTGGGGTTGCGGCGCTCATCTCGCTCTATAGACCGAGGGAGCCAGCATACTGCTTCCAGGTCATGTGGCCAGCATGACTAAGCTGCTTCTGGTGAACCAGAGCAGTGCATGGAAACACCATTTACCTTCCCACCAGAGCAGTACCTCTTTATTTACTTGCACTTTGACATGCTTTCAATCTGCTAGGTGGGCAGGAGCAGGGACCGAGCAACGGGAGCTCACCCTGTTGCAGGGATTCAAACCGCCGACCTTCTGATTGGTAAGCCCAAGGCTCAGTGGTTTTAGACCACAGTGCCACCTGTGTCCCTTATAGTAATTATAATTAGGGATAGGCAAATCCATCAATTTTAGCTCTCCCATTTACCCATTTTCTGAATCTTAAATTCAGTTCTCTACATTCTGTGTCCATTTGCTCAACCAGGCTCAACTGACATTAAGTTCCCAACCTTGGCTCAGTCAAAGATATGCGGGCGTAACTTGCCCGTCCCAAATGAGGTGAAGCTCACTGATCTGAGGCCAGTGTAAGTCCCCCAAAAGAGACACTCTAAGGTCATGGTAGAGGAAGCACCAGAGAGAGCAGACTTAGGCTGGATCCTAAGCCTGTTCCACTAAGTCATGTAATCAGGCAACCTGGCACAGAACACAGTTTTAATGGCTCCCCTCTTCCAGGGTTTGGTAGAGTAGCAGCAGCAGCCCCATTGCTGAATGCAGTTTGGGTGTGGTGCTACTTTATGTGAGCTTATTTTACACCTGCATGTTTTTCACCAGCTTCCTGTAGGATTACTCCCTATCTTGCCCCATGGAGGCAAAAGGGAAATGAGAGGGTGGGCCATATGTCTTACTTTACAGAACACAATCCTCTCTTTGAGGAGGTCCAAGTTTGGTCCAAGTTCAGCTTACAGATAAAGACCCTACATGAAGGGAGGAGAGCAGTGTCCTTGAAGTTTTCTCATCAAGATTTAGCACCTGGACCAAGCAGGCAAAGGGGTCACCTATTTACCCTATTTTAGTATTGTATTTCTGTGTAAATTATAGTCATTATTTGCAAAATACATATAAATTAGCACATGCAATTGGCCTTTGGGGGGGGGCAATGTGTAAGTAAGCCCAAGAAAGAACTTCAGCCACAGGAAGAAGAGCTTGCTTCAGCCTTCTCCCCTGAGAGCTAGTAGCCACATTCTTCAGGGCTTTCAGCTGATGCTGGTCTCAAGCCTTCCTGGCCATTATCGTCATTACATATCTATAAAAGGACCATGGATGCAAAAGTCACAGTAAATGGGTTAGACGAGCCTGCAGGCTCATAATCTAATTTAAAACACAGAATGAACAGAAAGGAGGGGAAGTGGATGGTTTGTTGATTGCTACATAGGACTAAGAAATAGAAAATAATCAAAAACCAAAGAAAACAGAAGAATGAGTTGGTTGTGAAAACTGATTTGTGTTTTTGTCTTGAATCATGTAGACAGATTAGACAGCTGCTGCATGCATGCTTTTTCTTACACAGGGATTAGCTCCATGTGAGAAAAATATCATGCGTGAAAAGATTTTAACATGGCTACTTTTCTGGAAGGTGTACATACGTAGACACCCAGTAGAGGTTCTGGGAAACAACTCATTGTGTAAAGTGGATTCAAATCATCACATGGGTTGACGCTAACTCTAGTCCCTCCAAAGAGAGAGAGAGTTTTAGGAAGGAAAACAAATCAAAAGATGAAGGGAAATTGTTTGAATCAGATTGTGAAAATGAAAGATGTTGCAATCTTTGTGCTCAGAAAACAAGCAAAACACTAGTGGCCAAAACACTGCATCCCCTCCTTGCGCCCCACTGACTGGGGTTGAACATGAACAGAGATGTCCCTCTGCCCAGCTTAAGCCAGCCTCCTATCACCTGCTGGATGTGTCAGCTGGTGGGTAGGCCGCTGGCAAAATTCCTGCTGGTGGGAGCCAGTGGAAAGCCTTAAAAGAAGGCATTCCGTGGGTGACTGACAGAGACTGAGCCAGTGTGGACCCTGGATGGGTTGGAACCCTGAGCTGATTCCACTGCTGTCTGCAATGGCTTAGGACCTGATCGCTGCACCAACTCCCAGACTGCTTCAGTGATCTGCCTGCTCCCCGCCCACTGTGCATTGCAGGACTACAACTACAGATGTGGTGGTGGTTTCGCTGCTCCATACAACCCCACCGGCAAAGGGAAGGGAGGTTTGGATTGCAGCCTAAATCGCAAATGACTCTGAATCCTATCTCCTAACCCAAAATTCTGATTCAAAGCTTAAAGTGTTAGCAAAAATTTAGTTCAAGAATTCTCTATATGCTGTACATGACTACGTACAACTCTCTTCCTTTGAGTTTCTGAGTTATAATATGATCAGACAGTTGGGCAAACATCTTCAAAATGCACACATGTTGTTCATGGTAGGAACACATGATGCTGTCTTCTATTGAGTCAGATCCATTGACCCATCTTGCTTAATATTGGCTGCACTGACTGGCAACAGCTCTCCAGGTTTTCAAACAAGAAGTCTTTCCCAGCTCATATCTGAAGATGCTGAGGGACTGAACTCAGAACTTTCTACATGCAAAGCAGTTGATCTACAACAGAGCTATGGGCCTTCCAGAAAGTGATGGACAACATGCTTAACAGTTTGGGCTTGATATTGGCAAGAAGAGGATTAGTGGTTGATCTATAAGTTGTTAAAAGTCCTGTACTTTGCTAGTGGATATTTCCCGTGTGAGTATGAACATTCAAGGTTACTAGATGTCCCCTGGCATTTAGGAGCATGCTTTAACTCCAGAGCATAACAGCAGCATAGAAATGAGACCGTGTTCCTTATTTCAGAAACCTTATTATGGACCATGCTGACTGGGGCTGATGGGAATTGGAATTCAACAATGGAGGGCCATAGTCTCCCTATCTTTGGCCTAAATGCTAGCTGTGAATTGCCCCCATCTTCCAGCGATGGAGTAACACCATGTGGATTTGGGGTTCCGGTCCAGGTCCAGGTTCAGGCCCGGCCCAATCCAACAGTTTGCCCTGACTAGGTTACTTTAGATAACCGCCTCACTCAAGCATGAAAATGGACACTGTTGTGGGAATACTGTTCATAGTGAAAATTGGATATTACCACAGTTTCTGGCTTAACCTTCTATAGAAACTACCCTTTCTCTTAGATTTGATAGGTTTCCATCAAAGTGATATATTTTTCAGTTATGGATTAGTACAAAAGATGTCATAAACTCCTGGAAAAAATATAAAATCTCTCAGAGAAGATACAAGCTGGGAAAAACATGGTTGTGACACAACAGAAACAGAAGAGAAAGATAATGACATCAAGGGAATTTCCACCCTAGAGACGCGCATGATTAGCATCAGTCTAAGTAGTGTAATATAAAGAAGGCAATTGTCCCTTCAATAAAAGCTCATATAAATGGATATTGGTACCCTTCCCATAAATCCACTGTCTGGAAAATATCTGTTGTTCGTATTCCATAGATTTCTGCCGCTTTCAAGAATTGGGAAATTTGCTCCATTTGCTTGAAAGCCATCTTTGATTCTGTGATCTTTGGAATGGGTTTCTTTCCCCTTGGGATGTAAACTGTTTATTAACTTGCACAGCAGGCTGGGAGATTAAAGATAGAAGCAGAAATGAAAGAGGGGGGAAAATCAATTAGTTCCAGCTGACTAAAAGACAACATGTACACGCTATTGAGTTTTATGGTGTGGGTGCCTCTGGTGCCACTCACGGAAGGAAATCTTCTCAAAAATCAAATCAAATAACAACTGAGAATAATTCTGAATGTGTTAGAAGCAAGTAAGTTTTTTAAAAAAAATGCAAGCCAAAGCTTCCATTTCTGCAGCTGGACCAAGCATGCATGGATGTACTCAGGCAGACAAAATCAAATCATTCGCTAAAGGTTACATAACAATTGACAGTTGTGTGGGAGAGCAAAACGGTAGCTGGAGTCCAACTGTAAGTGCTTCCATTTGGTATACTGTTAAAAACACAATGACAGAGGCTCAATAATTTGCCATGTCTTATATCTCCAGGGCAAAGGACAGCATCTTTGTGCTTATTTGGTTAAAAAAAATAAAAATCCAACATGTCATTTTAAGTCTTCAGGATGTTTACAAAAACAGATCAGGAATGTAGCATAAGCACATTTTACTTTTTCTTTTCTTTTTAAAAACCAACACTGACTGGTTTCTAAAGAAGATAAACCTGGTATTAAAAGCTCAGCTAAAAAAAAAAAAAAGCAAATCTGTTCTTCTTCTTCTAATTGTCAGAGAAATAGTTACCGAATTATATAATCTGCCCATCTGTCTCTATGCACATATACTGGCTATTGTTTCTAAAACCTCCTGATCATAATAAGCAATTGTTTTAAATATTTTAATTGTCCTAAAAGAGAAAAACAGTTTAGAAATGAAATTGATACTCTTGGTAAAATGTAAAGTTAAATTCCAATCCCTAAGTATTACTTTGTTACCTAATGATTTCTACAGGGTTTATATGGAAGTAGGGTTGTTGCCGGGGGTGGGGGGTGGGGAAACACTGTCCAAGGTAACTGATTAGCTTTCTCCAAAGGAGCTGCGGGCAAAAGTTAAGGAGCAAATCTTAAAGCACACATTATTATTGATGCAACATCAGACTATTACTTACTGTTCCATCCATTAACCATTTCTGGAAATGTTGCCTTCCTGGAGGGGGATGCTCTGTGTTTTCACCACACTGTATGATAATCCAGTCCACCAGCCGACTCTCCAGTTCTGTGTCATATTTCTGTTCGATCTTTTCCTGGACTTCTCGGCTTAAACCATAGCTGGGTCCTCTGTTGGCCATCTCTAGGAAGAAGAAAAACCACTTTATTTAATTTGCAAGAGGTGCAAAGTGCTGAGCATCTATTACCCAGCATCTATTCTGAACATCCTGGAAAGGGATTACTACACAATCCCAAATGCATTACCAAAAAATCAAAATCAAAAGCCTCCTAAATTGTGATGCCAGTAAAGGGTTTGTGTGTGCTTGCATGAAATCATCAAAGCTGACATTTCGGCTGCAAGTGAAATTTCTGTCGTTGCTAGGAAGAGATGTAAGCATTTCATATTAACATTGCAATTGCCAGCAAATCCAAAGGAATTAAAAGCAAAAAGAAGGCCAAAAAGAAAAAAGGTCTATTACAGGACAACTTGGAATAGCCTTTCAGTGACGCAGGTGATCTGGTGATTTTCAGCAGTGATCTGGGTCCAGAAATGCGGAGACCATCGAAGCAAGAAATGCTGGTAAAATTTATGAAGAGTCGAAGGCTGCTGCGATGCTCTGCTGCTCCTGGAACTGCTGCTGTGGGAGCATCGTGATCTGAAGAAGGCTGTATTGATTTGATTTTCCTCACAGATGAGGGGGGTCAAAGCAGGGGCGTTGCTAAGAGCTATTAAAGAGGCCCTCCTACTCTGTCATGGCCAGAAAAGGATCCCTATTCATCTCAATCCTCTGCAGCCTGCTCCTCTGCACACACTTCTGCTGCTGTCACTCCTTGTTTTCTAGGCTTTGGTACTCACTTCTACGTTCTTATGCTGCAGCCGTTGTCATGGTGCCCAAGAAGATTGCTATTAAAAATACTCTCCCGATTACATCCGCTCACTGTTGGCTTCTTTAAACCCAAGACAAACCTGCAGAAAATGCATGGAACAGAGCCCGTAAAACAGCAGCAAAGATTGTCAATAAACAGCAAAAATCACCAGCGCAAATTCAAAGAAGGTAACTTTTCTAATCTGCTTGAATGGAAATAAGAAAGCTAAGCAGCTAAATGCCATCTCAGAGGAGGAAAGAGTTCCCCATCCTCCACCCCAATTCCCTGCAATGCAGTGCCGGACAGAATATTCCACATTCTTCAAAAGTCTAGAACTTTTCCAGTTCTGACTAAGCAAGCTTTGACATATGCAGAGCTGTGGGTAGCAAGCAAAAGTGCATGGTGGGTCGCAACAACAGCTGTTCAGGACCAGCCCAAGATGCTTTGCTGCCTGAGCTGAGACACCAAATGGCGCTCCAACCCCGAAGGCAAGATGCACAGCACCAAAGGCCAGGACATCAAATGGACAAGTTGTTTTGGCAGCTGAGGAAGAAAAGCCCACCAGCATCTCTGTCTGCAAATGTAATGGTATGATAATAGTAATTCAAATAGCTAGCAATTTCTTTGCATTTCATGATACCTAACCTGAGGTGACCACCTCAGTTCTGCTTATCTATAGAAAAGGTAAAGGGACCCCTGACAGTTAAGACCAGTCGTGGCCGACTCTGGGGTTGCGGCGCTCATCTCGCTTTATTGGCCGAGGGAGCTGGCATACAGTCATATGGCCAGCATCCGTTTCTGGCGAACCAGAACAGCACATGGAAATGCTGTTTACCTTCCTACTGGAGTGGTACCTATTTATCTACTTGCACTTTGACGTGCTTTCGAACTGCTAGGTTTGGCAGGAGCAGGGACCGAGCAATAGAGCTCACCCCGTCGCGGGGATTCGAACTGCCAACCTTCTGATCAGCAAGTCCTAGGCTCTGTGGTTTAACCCACAGTGCACCCGCGTCCTGCTTATCTATAGTACCAGCTCATTATTCAATGGCCTTTGACAACACCATGGGTTGTGCCTGCTGAACTTAGACCAGAGGATCTCATTCTATTGCTTGCATTGCAGGCATTACACCAACTTCACACCAAAATGTTGGCTTATACTGGTTCAGATGAAAGCTTGGGGAATGATGCTTTGAAGGTTCCCATATATGTTTTGAAAGCTCCTGCCATGCAAAATTAGCAAAGGGAGAACTCTTCCCCACAACATCCATTTTGTAGGTATGTGAGTGTTTTCCTCCCTTGCATATGGGGAAAGCATTCAGATATCCAGTCCTGAAGCGAAGGACAAGGCAGCACGTCCTTTTTAATTACAGAAGCCCACCAACTTGGCAATTGAAGCTCTGTCCTTCAACAGAAGGAAAACGTCAGCATCTTCAGGAGAAATGGTTGGGGGTTTCCACTTCTACACAAACACAGCATCTGCCATTGAGATGACTCAGCTGTCTCACTCTGCCTAATGGTAGGGCTGGTCCTGAGTCCAGCAAAAGGTTCGTCACGAGTATGCCGATCATGTTTCCTTCTCCCTCCTTTCCATGCCACTAGAGAGAACTGCCGTCATCTATTTCATATATAGTCATTCTATGTTGCATCTTTTCAGATTTGCAGCCAAGCCTGTTCCATACATTCCCTACAGTTCAGATGCTCAAGACGTGAGCTCTCTGGTTTATATAATTCTCACTCTCTCCTGGCTTGACTTGAATACATGAAAAATTCAGTGGGTGACCTCATTTCCCTGCAAGATTTTCATATTGTGTACTGGTATGTATTTATTTTTAAATAAGTCGCCTGAAAAAATTTCTTATGTAACTCAGCTCTCTTAGAGCTCATCCTACTGCACACACAGCATGCTGTTTGTGATAAAGAAATGAGGCATCTGTGGAAATTATTATTTTTTTTAAAAAGTACTGCCCCAATCGTGTACAAACAGCTAGGTTGCATATACTGATAAAATTCAATTTTTTTGTTCTGGAAAAGAAAGCTATGAAGAGGGTCTATTATTCTAGTATCCCTGTAATACAAAAGGGATTTTAATGCACTGCATTTCCTTTGAATTAATTCATACAACTCTATATAACATGGCAGTGGAAGGTTATT